TACAAGAAACACGAAACAAACACCGTTTTTAACTATCACTGTTACAAGAAACACGAGAAAAACACCGTTTTTAACTATCACTGTTACAAGAAACACGAGAAAAACACCGTTTTTAATTGTCCTCTTAATACCAACATTACAATTATAGCATAATTTCTGTGGAAACATACTTAATGATAAAATGTTCATAAATATTGATGTATCATACTCACTTCCACTATGATGGCGATGAAACGTCGCGCACAACGGAATAGGAGAAGTGCTACGACAAGTGCTCGTGCTTGTACTCATCAAAGAACCTATGCTGTCAGAACTCGGATCGCGAGTATTGGTCCTATAACCTCCCAGTGATCCTATGGCTTCTGCTTCAGAAGAACCTATAGGTCAGAAAACATAAACAAGACAAAAATGAAAGAAACATCATAAACGTTTCGCTTGGTTTGAATTTTTCACAAAGCTACACGAGGACTATCTGCGCTAGCCATCCCTAATTTAGCAGTGAAAGACTAGAGGTAAGTCATCACCACACGCCGCCAACTCTTGGGCTACTCTTTTATTTACCAGCAAATAGTGGGATTGACCGTCACATTATAACGCTCCTATAGCTGAAAGGGCGAGCATGTTTGGTGGCAAGGTGATTCGAACCTGCGCCCTAACCACCTGGCCATGCCGAGCAGCGACACAAACGTAACAACGTATGCGTGTGAAACAGTGAAAGATGTTTATTTACGAAATATTTAATGTTGGTAGGAAGGGTACGTTAGTAATATTAATACAACAGCAAGTAAAAAACATCTTTTCAGCTGAGCTTTTGTAAAACAGATTATCAAGAATAACGACAAAAAAAGCCCTCGATAGCACACTTTTTACAATAAATTGCACGTGCCTAATCAGAACCTGAAACAGAGTAGGCAAAAATGATGATTTAAGTCAATCTGTACCACTTTTGAAACATACAATTGGCTTTTTTGGTCTGCACCAAAAATATTAAACTTTGAAAATTAGTATATTATAATAACTGATAGTATATGAATTTTTTAGGGGGGGGGCAAACCTACACAATGGGTTATCTGCGTTGACCCACCGGGGGATAAGTAGAAGTTATGGACTAGAACTGACAACCAATACAATTTCTTTTTCGCATCAAATCTGACATATATCATTCAACATACAATTTTTGTCTTGGTTGTTCACCTGCTGTTATTCGCTTATAATTAAAAATTCGTTTCGTCATCTGGAGTCACATTTTAATTTTGAACGGATTGATTTTAAAAAATGCTGCCATATTTGGTGATAAAAAAACTTCGTTTCTTTCACACAACAATGGTGTGTGTGTGTGTGTGTATCGTCCACACCACTGTTATATATATCTGTCGCATCCCAACTGGCCTGGTGAACTCTGGTATTGGGCAAAAGGCTTCCTCGGCACTGGATAGAGCAGATGTAGAGTGATTGACATATTATAAATTTGACTTCACCCACGGGTCTTAGAATTACTGATGACCCGCTCCAGGAACAAGAAACGTAACATAAATAAAGTTTAAGGAAGAAAGAAAAATTGGTTTCTCCTCAAGAAGGAAAAATAATTTTATGCTAATAGACGACTTTGACCGTCTAAAATAATACGTCACTACTTTGTTATTAGAATATAAGTATCTTTTAGTCTTTAGTTCCTATAGTGGTGTTTATGACAACACCAACAAAGCTGTTCTAAAGTTCATTCATGCAGTGAACTGCTCAGAAATTCTTCTTAATCTCTAAAAGAAACATATTACTGAAATCGGAAAGTAAAGGCAGAAGCATCTTTCGGCAGCTAGCTAGAAAGACTCTCACTCTTGACCAACCTAAAGCAGATTTTAGTGGTTTTAACGTTCTAGCTTCTTAAGAAATTTTGTTTTCCTTCAACAACTAAGTATTAGCTAAAATACTCTGTTCAACCAGTAATTAGCAAGAAAAATATTTGCGTTGTTAGTCATTCTAACACTTAACGGCATAACAAGCTCTTTACTGTTACTACTATTATCACAGTCATCAACCAACAGTTGCTTTTCGAGAGATCAGTTTTTATTTCACACCCGAGGGTGGTGCTATCTATTGACGAGCTCGAGTACTACTAAAACATTTTTCAGAATCTAGTAATATAATTTTCAGCAGTATCTGTCATCTTGTTTGTTCTTCGTTTTAGCATTTTTTCTTTAAACTTTCGTTTATTATGACTTAGTGAAACAAAAACTGTTATATATACATATATATTGTGGTTTGTTACTTTACTCCTGCAAATTTCTAACACATTCAAAATATACTTCCCTTATTGTCTGATCTTTGCTGACAGATCACGTCTAACATGAATTTTAAAAATTAAAATCAATCCAAACTCTTGTCAAACGATACAGCTCTCCCAACATAACAAACTCAACTTAACCCCAAACGTACAACTCTCCCAACATAACAAATTCAACCTAACCCGAAACGTACAGCTCTCCCAACATAACAAACTCAACCTAACTCTAAACGTACAGCTCTCCCAACATAACAAACTCAACCTAACCCTAAACGTACAGCTCTCCCAACATAACAAACTCAACCTAACCCCAAACGTACAGCTCTCCCAACATAACAAACTCAACCTAACCCATAACATCTTAGATTAACGTAGTAACCTTGTTCTTCCTCACACAGACACTAGATCGAAACCATAACTATCTACAAATAAACGCATTTGTCTTTATTTAATGCTCACAGTGGTTACCGTTACAGATATACTAACAACTGAAATGCTCGAACCAAAAGGCATAATAAAGATAACTAATAATTCTTGATAACACTATGTTCTTACGCGAACAAATATAATTTTTTTTGTTTGTGTTTAAACGCAAACCTATACATAATGGGCTGTCTGCGCTATGCCCAATGAGGATATCGAACCCCAGTTTTTAGCGTTATAAGCCCTGAAGCCCATAAGGAGGCACAAACATAATAATCAATGTGATTAGCAAATAAGATGGATTTTTCACCCTTTAGCCTTGAAAATAATAAACTGTTTTCTGCTAAGGAATTAAGTTAATAGCTAAACTTTTACCTCTAGGTTTAGATGACAGCCAATCAAAATCGTTTTTTTAGCATGATTTTTAAAGTTGTATAGGTATGTAGTAGATTTGTCGTTAGATCCACCGTCCCATTAGCTAATACGGTGTTTTATGTTCCCATTAGTTCGTTTTGTTATGAATTTCGCGCAAAGCTATAAAAGGGCTATCTGCGCTAGCCATCCCTGATTTAGCAGTGTAAGACTAGAGGTAAGTCAGCCAGTCATCACCATCCACCGCCAGCTCTTGGGCTACTTTTTTACCAACGAATAGTGGGATTGACCGTCACATTATAACGCCCCCACGGCTGAAAGGGCGAGCATGTTTGGTGTGACGGGGATTCGAACCCGCGATCCGCAGATTGCGAGTCGAGCGCCCTAACAACCTGGTCATGCCGGGCCCCATTAATTCGAAGTGTACCGCTAAGTTACGTTTCCAACTGACTTACTTCACACTAGCTAATACGGTGTCTTATGTTCCCATTAGTTCGAAATGTACCGCTAGGTTACGTTTCCAACTGACTTACTTCACACTCCACGCCAAACAGAAATCGCAAATTAGTATTAATACCTCAGGTGTTGTTATTTGCTGCCCGCCATAAACTAACTTAAACTCAGCTATTAAAATAACTCCTTTTTAAGAAACTGAAATGATAAACATTGCATTTTTTTTTCGTAGAGGCAAGAGCTTTGAATTATGTGAAAGTAAAATTGAATGGCTCAAGCTCAACAAAGACTACACGTTAGAGTGGTGTGAAGGTCGGATATATAATAAGATTTGAATCTCTCTCTCTTTTTTTTTCCACGAAGGGGATAAGTGGCGCATTTTATCGTCCAGGATTACCGACTTGTTCTTTACACACAGACATATCAGAGAGATGGGTAACTAAACTTAGAAGTGAGATGAGCAAGAAAAACGGGCTGCCTCATTCTGTACTTAACCTGCTTCGAGCATGCGCTGTCTCAGAACCTGGACAATAAAGAATAGAATGAGCTTTAAAAGTTTAAAGGCTTATATCTCGGATTTCCTGACACATCCAAGCTCAATAATTCCAAGTTTTTCTAGAAACCTGCTTTTGTAGTAAAGGTACTGTCATCAATAACGTAATTTTGTGTATAAAAAAATAAAGAATAAAGCTTTCATAGAACAAATATTTAGTTTATTATCTAACTATCCATGTCAGGTTTAGAGATTTAGACCTAGTTGTAAAGTTCTTGCGGTCTTTTTTTTTTTCTAGCCCAGCTGGTAAACCTTAAATCACCCCTCATTTTTATGAAGTTAAGCAGCCCATGAAACATGTTATGAAGCAAATATTTAATTCCTTTCAGAACATATTATCGTACTTTTTTTCCTTGGTTGATTTAATTCTGCATTTCTAATGTTGTTAATAATACGTATGGACGGAATTACTGAGGTCGTTCGATAAAGTTATGAAGCATGTAAAGGTATATTTGTAGAAGGAAAATATGCAAGGAAATATATATTGTTTATTAAGAACAAGGTATATGGTTTAGTGGAAATTTGAGTTTGAGGTGTTGACAAGTTTGAACGCTCGTACCACAGAAACGAGAATCAAATCCTCAAATATTTTATAAAGATACGAGTCCTAGGAATTTAATGGAAACATTATCTTGTTCAGTGGTCAATATTCAAGGGGCCGGATGTGGTCTAGTGGTTAACGTATCCAGAAATTCAAGGTTCGAACCCACGATATGCCGATGAACACGCTTCGTGCTTTCATTTCTTTCATTTGTGGACGCGTAATCAAAATGACAGCCAATTCTGCTATTTAATTAAGAGTATCAAGGTAGGTGTCACGTCAGCAGATCAACATTAGAGATAGCTATATCTGAACCTTGGAGTGTCCGAGTTGGCTCCACGTGTAGCATTTGGTGGTGGTTAGGTTTAAAATACCACTGGTCATAAGGGAGCGACAATAATCTACCTTGAGAAACCATAAAATGTCAAATTATCTCCACCTATAGCCATCACCTCAATGGCAAACAACAGTATAGCCACCCATGTAGCTGTTCTGGAAATTATCTTAAATTAAACTGATCTTTTAATTTCTTTTATAATTATGAACTGCTGTGAATTACGCTTCTGTCCTGTAGTTTTATGTGAACTTA